AAATACTGAACTGCAAACTGTGGACAGTGTATAGATTTTCTGTTTACATCCCCAAAAGTACATACACACTGACTTCTAAGTCCAACCCTTTGCACTGTATTAACATGGTGCCACATTTTACATAATTTAGCTTTCAATGATTTCTCCTGCATATTAATTTAGCAAATAATAAACTAATGAAGAGCTCTAATATTTCATCCTTGAAATTGTTTGTCTATAAACTAGGAAGCATCTAACATAGGGGTTTTCAGTTCCAAAACTGTAACCTCCCTGGAAGCCTCTGAATCTCAAGTGAGATGATAAAGTTCTCGATACCAAATCTAGTTCATTTTAACTAAACTTAAAAAATTCAGTGAAGTAAAAAGATATAAACAATGTCAGGGTTTTGTAACAACTGAAAAGTTCTGTTCATGATCTGAGAAACAGTTTTTTTTTCATTTTAGTTTCTGTATTTGAAGAAACCTATAAAGTATAGTTTTGTTTTTTAAAGCAGAGTAAAGTCTTCTCCTGGTGGCTCAGTGGTAAAGAACCCCCCTGCCAATGCAGGAGAAGCAGATTCGATCTCTGGGTTGGGAAGATCCCCTGGAGGAGGAAATGTCCACCCACTCTAGTATTCTTGCCTGAATAATCCCATTTTTTCCATTTCCCCTCTACCTCGCTGAAGTCAATTTAGTACACATTCTTGAAAGCCAACAGAAGCAACTGGAATCAACAGCTCGCTGATTATGATCCAGCTCTCTTTCTCCCCACAAATCTCTAGATATGACAGCAAAGGTAGATGGCACACAGGATCAGACTAAAAGAAGAACCAGCTAATAGAAGCATCTGTATTGGTCCTTTCCAGGAGACAGTCTGGAAATAGGAAAGACTTGCACTTAAGGCAATCACTACAAGAACGAATCCACAAAAAAAAAAATTTTAAAAAAGAATGAATCCAGTTCTTTCACCCTGTAACTCACTGAGCATGAACAAGCAGGTATGTGTTCCAGGTGGGGGTAATGACTGTGGGCACAGGGGCAGAGGTGTACTGACAGTCTGTCAAACACTAAGACTGGATACCAGGCCACCCTCTGCTCCTCCCCCACATCAACTGGAGGTCACTCAGACATTGTATCTGCAGACTACTAGAGAATCTCCAAAAAAAATAAAAAGTTAAGCACAGAACTAACAATCCCCAAGCACCAAGCGAACATGAGCAGCATGGGACATGAACCAGTGCATCTAACAGAACTAACACCCAAGAAAAACCACTTAATACAGCATTTCTAGAAGTGAAACTATGCACCACAGAGTAAATGAAAAGTATAGCCCAACAATGAAAATAAAATTAATCTCACACGAGCCTTTGCCCCCACAGCATCTGAAGCAAAAGATGACTGGAAAGTATCTTTAAAGTTGGAAAGAAAACAATTCTCAATATGTACTTCCATACCCAGCAAAAGTACCATTCAAATGTGATGATACTTTCAGACAAAGACTTGGGAAACTTTTCACAAATCTTCTCTGAAGAATTAAAAACAAAACAAAAGTAATCTAAGATAGAAAGGTGACAAATCAATGGTAAACCAAAAAATTAGTAAAATTAAGTTCAAAATTAAAAAGTTTTAATAAAATAAAGAAAATAAAGGAAAGTGAAAGCAAACTATAGTCTTTTGTATGGTAGAGGGACTGATACAAATATTAACTCTAGACATTAAGAGTGGACATTAATACAGAGAAACAGATTGCATGTCTTGCAAACCACTAGAGGAGGAGCAAAGAAAACTTGAATACTCCAACAAAATATGGCAAAAGGTAATAATGAAATAAGGCAAATGAAAAATATAAAATAGCACAAATAAGTCCAAATATTCCAGTAAAAAACAAATATGAATGAACTAAATTCACCTGTAAAAAGTCTAATGGATTATGGATACCTTAAACTATATATTGTTTAAGAAAAACCTGAAACAAAATGACAAATGGGATTTAAAGCAATAAACAAATAAGTACAGTTTCATATTGCTAAAAGTGATAGCCCATCATGTAAAATAAATTATATAGACTTTTATATACCTAACAGCATGAAAATAACAATGTACAAGCAGAAACTGATTAAAATACAAAATTAACAGATTTGAATAGGGGACTAGCATAATTCTCTCAAAAATAACAGATAAGAATAAAAACATGACACAAAGGAACAAAATACATAATTAACAATCTTAATTATGTATAAAAACTCTACATGTACCAAAAATACAAATATTTTTTTCACACAGGGAAGCATAACCAAAAATTACTATGTACTAAGACCACACGGAAAATCTAAAAATATTCCCCAAAGCAGAAACCAATCAGGCATATTTGACTGTAATATACTAAAATTAGAAGTTAAAACCAAATAGCTAAAAGGAAAAATAAATGTATCCATTTTGAATTTTTAAAAAACAATCAATCTCAACAAGAAACAAAGCAGTACAGTTCAGCGGTGAACAACAATGACTGCAGAGTGAAATTCCTGGGGTGTTACCAGAGACTGTGGGAGAAGACAACGCACAGTCCCAGATGTATTCATTGGAAATCAGGACAATAAAGGAAAAAAGCTTCCAATTCAAGACACTAAAAAAGAAGTCAGAAGGGAAACTCAAAGGTCCTAGAAAGAATTAATAAAAAGTGAAAGAAAAAGTAATGATACAGAAAAAAAGCACAGCTAAATAAAATCAAATTTGAATCTTTGAATATAATAAAATGCAATTTCTGAACTAATTTGCAATGTTGAGGACCAGTGTACTCTTAAAAAACTTAATTATAAAATTGAACCAAAGTTGTTTTACTTAACAATATCTGATAATTAAGTGACAGATTCTAATCTGTATCCCCAACTAATTTTGCTAAAATATCTATGAAAAATCAGTGATTGATTTTGGCATAATAAACTAATACTACATTAACAGAAATGTAACTTTCCATTTGCTTTTTAAAGCAATTCTATAGTAATTTCAATCACACAATTACCCAAGATGTATGGAAATAAATACAAATAATGAAAATGAACTCTACCCAATTCTACTTTACCAACGTACGTTAACCATTTATCAGACTGGTGATTATCCTTTCAGACAATTTTCTTTTTGTTTTTAAAAACGTATTTAAAGTTATATGGTGCAATATTTAAGAGGAGGGAAAAATGAACATTACAATGAACACCTGTGCATTCACTGCCCAACTTTGGAAATAAGCATCACCAATACAGTTGAAATCCTGTAGATAGGCCTGCACCTCAGAAGTTAACGACCTTGATCTCACAGTTCTTCATACTTCTCAGCTTGTACTGCAGCCCTAAACAATGTATCATACTGCTTTGTATGTTTTAAACTTTCCTATAAATGTTCTAATACTGTATGTACTCTTTATTCATTTTCTCACTTAAACTTTAAGTTTGTGAAACTCCAGCCATGCTGACATAATTCATTAATTTTCACTAAGCTATAGTTTCACCGTATGAATAATGAACAATTTATTCTCCTGCTGATGAACAGTCAATACTGCTAAAAACATTCTTTGAAAATCTCCAGCATATATGAGAGCTTCTCTATGGGGCACACACAGGAAGCAGAACCACTGGGTCTCAGGATGTCTACTTAGCTTTACTAGATATTGACAAACTGTCATTTACAAAGTACAAGAGTTCTTCATGTTCTACAGTCTTCTCCACACTTGGTTTTGCCCGCCTTTAGCTTTGCTCAATATGAAAAGTAAGAAACAGTGTCTTACTGTAGTTTTAATTTGCCTTCCCCTGATTATTAGTGAGGCGGAATATCCTTTCACGTTGCCACAGTGATGCTTCTTCATCTGCATATTCTTGCCTCCATTTTCAGATTAGAGTCTCCACTCATCAAAAACTGTCTGCCTCAAGTATTCTAATGAAAGACTTCAGTGAAGCCTGGTTATCCGTAGTGGGTAGAAACTTATTAACCCTTTCTTTTCCAGAACACATAGTTTACCATGAAAACCAGTGCCTTGGTGTACAGAGTATTCAGCATAAGATCAGCACTCTTCAATGTGTATCTTTAATCTTCTATAACCTGCATTTTAAATGATCAGAATGCAAATGAAAGCCTCATTATCTATGAAGTTTGATATCATATGCATGTAACATTATTTTTCTAAGATTAAACCTAAAATTTTAAAAGCTGACCACACCCTCAGGTTAACAAATCCTTAAAAACTGAAAATAAATTCCTAAATGACCTTCACAACAAATACGATTCCAAGGGGACAAAATTGACACAAGCTGAAAAGCAATAAACACTTCTGTCACAACTAAGTAACTCATGACCAGTGAGAGCATGAAAAAGTGTCGGAGTGAAGGGAGCACGCTGATGGAATGACAAGAGCTACAACTATTTTGGAATTCACCACACAGAAGGCACTCTGTTATCAACCTTCTATCCTATACAGGAAAATAGACAGTAACCACCACAGGAGTCACTGTGAAAAGTAAACAAGGTAACATTCAATACCTGTATCTGATCTAATTCCATTCTATGGATGATGAATGAAGCAGAGAGGTCAAGTACACTGTTCAAGGTCACAATAAATGATCCCAATGCCAGAATTCTTCACGCTACACACTGTAATATTCACAGTACCTTTCTAACATGGGTCTCATGACTGTTTAAATGTATTCACAGGAAGGAAATAACTAGAAGTATCTACAAAGATAGGAAAAGCACTCAGACCCTAAAAAAAAAAAAAAACAGGCCGATGAGAGGTTATCTTAAAAGGTAACTTACTCTTTCTTTTGTGCTAACAAATATACTTTAGACATTAGCTATCTATAAGGTAAAATAAACTCAGCTTTAGAGAAACATGGCAGTCATGAAACCCAATCTGTTTACTAAGATCCATTTAAAGGAAATTCTCTTAGAAATTATTTTCACATAAACAACAACTGATTTGACTGACTACACTTCAGCCAGTAGAATTCAAGACAGCAAATACTGAAAGGTACCTACCTACTGCGGGTGCATCATACTCATCACCAAGCAGAATTTCTGGGGCAGAATATGCAAGAGATCCACAGCTTGTAGTGAGCTTCTTTCCTGGTTGAAATTTGTTGCTGAAACCAAAGTCTGTCAACTTTACAAGACCTTGTTTTTCAAAGAAGACAACATTCTCAGGTTTTAAGTCTCTGTGAACCACATGGAGTTTATGGCAATAAGATATGGCGTGAACTATCTGAGCAAAGTACTTCTTGGCCAAGTCTTCATTAAGTCCCTCCTCATGCTTCATTATGTAATCGAACATGTCTCCTCCATCCCCAAGTTCTAGAATAAGATAAAGTTTGGTCTGGGTGTCAATCACTTCATAAAGGCGTACGATGTTGGGATGCTGCACTAGTTTCATGCATCTCACTTCTTGGAAAAGATGACCAGTGGCTAGTGTGTCCAATTTTGTCTTGTCAATAACTTTTACTGCCACTTTTTCACCTGTAAAGACATGCCTGGCAAGTTTAACCACTGCAAAATGACCTCGACCCAAGGTTTTATCCAGATCATATAATCCAGCAATCTTCCCATCATACCCTCGCTTGAATCCTGCCATGCTGGCCCAACGTAGAAAAAATATTTAGACTGTTTAAAATGGATCTTCTCATATATCTGGTGAAAATAAGGAATTCATTTTCAATATCGTCATGGACATCTACAAAATAAGAGAAATAAAATTAAGTTTTCTGTGACTTATCCTTTTACAGCTTCATTTTTTTGAAAATTTTGTTTTATAAGAAGTTTGAAATAAATATATTGAGACATAAAATCAGTAAATCAGTCAGGGGCATTTATAATTACCTATTTACAGATTTAGGGTTTACATTATAAAGCTTGATCACTTAAATGCCATTTTATTTTGCAAACTGATACAAAGTTAATCTCTTGAAACAATTTTTGGGTGATGTCACAAGAAAAGGGGCAAGTTTGATATACTTTTAAAAAGCATTTAAAGAATATTTTCCAAAACTAATTTCAATTAGCATCTTAAAAAAGCAGCCTGGGACTGACTAGAAAAGGAAAATACAATAAATACACACTTGGACAGAAACCAACAACTTTTTCCTGCTATTCCAAAATCAGCACTATTTAATATAAAATCCCTTCAGTAAAGACTTGTGACTTTCCCAGAAGAGTACAGTTTAGTTTTCTGGGGTATTTTCATCTACCTTCCCTCCCCTGTATCTCCAAAGCACCACGAGACACCTCCATCTCCGGTGGCCTTAATCTTATAGGTTTCAGTACACACCATCTTTATCCTGAGACCTCAAGGTTCTTGAGGATTCTATGGTTCCATTTTATTTCCATTCTCTGCTAATGCCAAGAACAGTGTTTTATATAGAACAAGTAATCAAAATTTTTTCACATTTTGAAATGCAACTCTTTTCAAAATATTTACAAGTAAATTTTTTGCTCTTGCATCACTAGTACTTAGACCAGTATCTGGTACACATTAGATGTTTTAATATGTGCTGACTGACGGGTACTTATTCTTTGTGCTTATCCGTTATGCTTGTCTCTATTATGGCTTTCCAACTCTCAAACAAAACCTACCATGATGTGCGTACATTTCAAGAACACACAAGCATGCATTTAAACTATTTACATGTTAAAGATTATTTGGCTTTAAAAACCTCATTTTATATGAAGTTTAAAATTCTTAACCTACATAGTATAAACCTTAAAATACAGAAATAGGTTCTTATAAATGACCCTGATTAAGACATTTTAAATCTCACACACTAAACTCCCACTATTATTTTTTTTTTACCAAAATTAAATAGAATAACAAAATCCCATGAAAAATACAGCCATCTCCTAAGACTAAATCTTTCCTATCAGTGCACATTAATCCATGCAGTGAAGCCTTTTCTATTGCTTCCATATGCAACTTCACATTTTCAATAACTTTTTATTAACAGTACTTAGAGCAGTTACTCTACTTACGTGAAAATATCCCAACAACCTACACTATGTACATAAAAAGCTTTTTTTTAAGCACTAGCATTAAATACCTTTAAATCTTAAATTTTTGCTTAAAAGAACAGAAGAAAAAATAACAGTTAACATTTACTGAAAACCCACTATATATATTTGCAAAAAATGAATAAAATTAGATTGTGTCATTGGATCTTAACAATCCTAAGAGGTCAGTATTATTCCCATTTTATAGCCAAGAAAGCACTGTGTTTCTGATAAGTGCTGAAGCTAAGATTCAAACCGAATTCTTATTTCAAAGCGCAGACCTCTTATAAACATATGACCATTCTAAACAATATTATTTTTAGGATAATAATATCGGGAAGTTAAAAAAAATTCTCATAGTCATTCTCCCATGCAGGCTAAAATGATCTGAATCAAGAAATAAATAAATAAATAAAATAAAATGATCTGAATCACATATCTGGGGCCACCTCAAATTTCTCTGTAATTGTAAATTACCCTCAGAGTAATTCTGAGTGCTTCATTTAATTGAAAATTGCCCTCAGAGATAGGATTACTAGTCTCATTTTGAGGCACAAAAACAGTGAGTAACTTGGCCTAGGCTATAAGGCCAATGTGTCAAAGAGCTGAGATTCACCAAAGCCTGTGCTTTTAACGACTGTTCTATACTGTTTCTGCAAATTAATTTCAGAAACAAAATCCTGTATCTATTGAGACTTTTAAAAATGAGAAATCTGTACTGTTAAGATACGGCTTATGTGGCTTTCTCTTTGGAGAAAAAGCAAATTTCTTCTGTTTCGTGTATTATCCTTGTCATCTGAGCTGCTCATTTTATTGATAACAGGAAAATCCAAGAGGAAAGATCTTGCTTTATTTGGACAGTAGTTCCCCCCAAAAAATTAATTTAAGCATATTTAATTTCCAAAAACAAAAACTCTAAGCTAACTCCAGGGGGGCAGAAAACTATCTTTAAATCTTTAACTTTGATTAATTATAAGGGCAATAATAACTCTTAAAATTATACCTGAGTTTATGCTTCTATTGCACAAGCTTACAAATGCAACTTTAGCTTTCAAAAAAAAGCTTCTTCAGGCTGCCCCCAAGTTACATTTACTTTTTCATCTATCACTTTAGATGTATTCCTGGAAAGTGGCACAGAAATCAAGGTTTTATAAACAAATTTCAGTTGGTTTACATTTTAATTATTTTTTAAAGATTTATGTATTACAAAGGAATATACAGATATGGGGGGGGTCTTTTTTTAGGGTCTCAGACACCCACAGATAATCACTATTCACATTGTCATTTCTCTTTCAAAAACTGGGTTAGCAAAAGGGCACAATGAAATAATTTTTAATCTGCTAGCAAGTTCACGGGGAAAAATCTCATAGGGTATCTTCTTAATGATAAGCAATCCTGTAGTAAAATGATTAATTGCTTTCACTATCAAAGAATTCACTTTTTGGGTACTTTTCTGGATACACATATCCCTTTTTCATTGCCTAAAAGTGAAGTGAAATGAAAATAGCTCAGTCATGTCCGACTCTTTGCGACCCCAGGGACTATACAGTCCATGGAATTCTCTAGGCCAGAACACTGGAGTGGGTAGCCTATCTCTTCTCCAGGGGATCTTCCCAACCGAGGGATGGAACCCAGGTCTCCTGCAGGGTTAGGAAGATCCCTTGGAGAAGGGAAAGGCTACCCACTCTAGTATTCTGGCCTGGAAAATTCCATGGATGATCCACGGGGTTGCAAAGAGTCAGACACGACTGAGTGAATTCCAGTGTCTATCAAACTACAATTATAAACCTAAAAAACAGGAAGTTACAAATCACTGAAAGTTGAGAGGAAAAATATCCTTGTTATTGAACACCTTTAAAAATACTGTTTAATCATACTATCAAGTGTATTTTGAGTTACTACAGGAAATAATTAGGCTTCCTTGGTGGCTCAGACGGTAAAGAAACTACCTGCAAAACAGGAAACCCACGTTCACTCCCTGGGTGGGGAAGATCCCTGGAAGAGGAAATGGCAACCCACTCCAATATTCCTGCCTGGAGAATCCCCATGGACAGTGGAGCCTGGCGGGCTACAGTACATGTGGTCCCAAAGAGTCAGACACAACTGAGCAACTTAACAGAGGGAATAATTAAATCATTTTTTTATATCTGAGGATCTTGCAATGCCTAAAAATCATTCTGAACACCAATGGAGAATGTTAAGATGTGGCTTATGTAAAGTAAAGGCGACTGTGTACCAACTCCAAGACATACCCTGCAAACTGCATGTGGAGTAATCCTTGTTAATACTGTGTTTTGTTAGTTGCTTCTTTTTCCTAAAAGAAAATACAAAGATATTAGTTTATTTCTATTTAACTTTTGCTGAAAGTTAAAATATAAATCCTCAGGGTGGACCCAGACAGACAAATAAAAATGGCGAATTTGTTTTCAGTGACCCAGTCTTCCATTATTTTTCTCCCCTTTGTCAATTACAGCCCGTTAAAGGAATCTTTAGGCAACAGGTATTTCAGTGAAAAGACACTGATGCTGGGAAAGACTGAAGGCGGAAGGAGAGGGGACGACAGAGGATGAGGTGGTTGGATGGCATCACCGACTCAATGGACATGAGTTTGAGTAAACTCTGACAGTTGGTGATGGACAGGGAGGCCTGGCGTGCTGCAGTCCATGGGATTGCAAAGAATCTGACATAACTGAGAGACTGAACTGACCTGATTGATTTCACAGTGAACAGATACATGGAGATTGGTCCAGGTAGACAGAGTAAAAGGATTATTCCATTTGAAGGAAAAGGGAATTATAATAATGAAGAGTAAAGTCCCTGTTTTTGAGATGCCTCCTGGGTAATGAACATGAATCCACAACGCCATGAATCCTCCCCAGGGGTCTGCAGGGTAGGCACCAGGAGGCACCACCTGCCCCACGAGCAGCAGCCTGCGGCTCCGAGCTGCTCAGCCAGCCTTCAAAGCCCAACAGGAGCCTCTCTGGCTCACGAAATACCCACTCCAATAGCCGAGGAGGGCAACCTCTCCAACAGTCCGTCCTCTAGCAGGCCAGCAGAAATCAACACGAGCACTGGGGGACACACACAACAGCTCTGCACTAGAGGCTTTCCAGCTGAGAGTAAAGAAGAGACTCCACGAACGAAGAGACCGTGAGAGGATCACTGATACCGAAGTCCGTGGCCCAGGGAGGGGACTGAGGCAGCCTTGCAGGCCTTTCCTCAACACTGGAAGATCACATTAATAATGTCAAGTTCTAAACATCCAAACGAGGCCAAGGCCCTTCACACAACACACCACAGGTGAGTCCAGCTAATCCTTAAGCTCAGGCTGGTGTGAGCCTGGGGAAAAGAGCACGTGAGAGGTTGGGGGAAGTAGGAAAGTGAAAGGACGACGAAGGAAAGGGGGCTGTGAAAACAAGTCTACCGCTGGGAATGAGGGGATGAAGAGCAATGGAGACAGCTGCTCACAGACTGTGAGCCAAGCAAAGTCATGGGCACAGGCCCACGTCCAGAGACAGGCGAGCTCTGGGATGCCGACCTGCTCCCTCAGCTCCAAGTGAGACACAATAGTTCCTCCCATTACCCACACCT